GGTCTTATGGCAAGGGATTGGGAGATTCAGGTGCTGTTCCATTTTTATTAGATTACCAGTTGTTGTCTTCTTTACCTTGCCACTTTGTCTTCTTTTCCAATCCTACGTTAAAGATTTTCTTATGGCAGGCTCGAGACTGTTATAAGTCCAATACTTTAGTTTTCGTAGAGGGTTTATAGGCTTTCACTAACAGTTCCGCGATAAAATATCATTGGATGCTCAATTATGAATTAGTGACTGATAAGTGATCTCTAAAAAAGAAACAAGCAATAAGGAATCTTCAAGAACACCATAAACCAAATTGCTCCCTAACAGTCACACAGCCTCATTGTATGGGTTCTCTGGACTTGCTGTTCACTCGACGCCCTGTTGTCCCTCTGCAACTTTTGTCTCACAAATAGCTTTTCCGCATCTTCCAGTACTTAATATCATTCATTGAAGCTAGAGCAACAAAAACACTGGAGCAAGACTTGCAGCAGAAGTTGCTTTCGAAAACTCTGCGCACGAAACTAGGATTGCGGTGCACGTCGAGCTTTTGCGTCAACGAACTGCATCATTGGTGGTTTGAGCACGCCTTACCGTGTGAGATGGATTGTTGTTGACTGTATGTGCTCCTTATGAAGAAAATGCAATAAAGGGCAGCAGAATTACTGATGAGCACTAGCGCCGGTCGGTAAAAATGGACATGCGTTCGGACTTACGTCCGCTGCTCCAAAAAACAACCGAGCGCTACTGCGTTAGGCGCGAAGAGGACGTTTGTGATGGGAGGGCCAACTGAACAGCTGTCAGAACTAGAATCTTCTACCGGCTGTGCCACCCTCCTCTCCCGTTGTGGAGCTGCGAAAGTGGGACAGCCTCTAAGGACAGTTTCCGGGCAGCATTACTTGCACAAGCGAGGACGACCACGAATTGCCTGAGCGCGAGGTCTGTCTTTAACTCATTGCAGAGCGTATGCTACACCATGTGCACCGCGGGGGCCAGAAAACGAATTCTTTGGGGAAATCCCCAGTGAATGACGCCTAGCCGGTCTCACCAAATCGACAGCAACTCCTTCATTGGATGGAGGAAATGCTTTGCGTCATGTTCGGGTTTGTCGGACTACTCCCATTCCTATTGTAGTTGAAGTAGCGGCACCGCTTCTCAGCTTCCGCAGTCTCATCATCCAGACAGTCGATGTGTCGAAACGGCAGCTGCATGGAAGAGAGCCCACCGTAGCATCATACTGCTGCGCAGGATAGGGTATATGACGGAGAATACTCCCTTTGAAAGCGTATAGCTGTATCTTTATTTTTCGAACGGCTTGAAGAGGATTCGTTCCCACTGAGCGTGGATTGCAGTATTTGCCAAAGCTGGTCCATCACCATCAGAATCCTCAATGCTGCAGTCTCCTTGGGTGAAATGGTCGAACAATTTGAAACCGTAGAGCGGGCAATGACATCTGACGTGACACTGAATACAAGGTTCACTGGGCTTCGACGCCTATCGGTCCTTGAAGTACTTGTAGATGATGCAAAGATGAAATGCCTGAAGGGTGTTCTACTCATACTGATTTCGTGGAAGCTTTCGATGACGGACAAATGAAAATATATGAATTCTCAGGAACTTATGGGAGTTGAAATGCGCTATGTAACAGCAGTCTGTGACCGCCGTTAACATAGCGCATTTCAACTTTCTCATGTACTGGTTTCCCATACACACGGATCCGTTTCTGTTAGTCCCCATATCGTTCGTCCGATTCGGAGCGACGGGGCATCCAAAGAGACGGTGGCCGACGTGTTAGGCGTTTGCATTGCACGGCCATAACTGTTTCACGTTTTGAGGTTCTGCTGTTTGTTTAGCCGATTAATTAACAAAGAGCTCGACATGCATTTATGAGGAACTTTGAGGAACGTCTCAAACCCATCCCCATAGCTCCTGTGATATATGTACGCGTTTCAGAAAAATTTTTGAACATTTTAATTAGAGTGAGTTAATTTTCCGCTCAATTTTCTATTGTGTTTAGCACACTGCGAATATTTCGTCGGACGCAATACCAGCAGATGCGTAATGGGAAAATTTGGTATACTTGCAGAAAGACTGGTTCAGTGACTGCATGGGAGACGCAGCAGCAAAATTCAATGAACATCGGAGTCGGGTAGAGCTTTCTGCTTTTTTTGTCGCTTGCATTAGATGTCTCAAGTGGACTCGCAAGCAATTAACAACCAAAAAACGTGTCACCTCTGTACTTGACGAGTAATCGAAGTGCGTAGCTTCCAGAGATGAATGCTTATAGGCTATAACCGCGGTAAAAACGGCGCTGGATTGAACTGCTTTCAACCACTGTTATGCCAGATAGTTGTAACGCGAATCCAATACGCTAATCGGACATGCTCCATAAAGGGATATGCCGAAGAAAAAAATTGATAAATCGAGGGCCTCCACCAATCGTTCTTATTGGCCGAAAAACTATTGACCGAAAGACGCATCCTAATAGTCTTCGTTCATCGCAGATGAAGGGGCGTGTCACGAGGGATTCGCTTGGCGGGCGTAAAACTCGTTTCCCACCTGTTGTTGAAGCGGTAAGCGACAACAGTTGGCGGAAAACGAATATGATACGAACCATATGATACAGATAGCCACCATATGATGGCGTACGTTGGCTGAATCGTGCAAAAAGGAGTGCCTAAGTCTGCTTCACGTCGGCGTTAATATGTGAAATTAGACATTAACAGTATCATTTCAGTACTGGACACGTATGTAAACGAAGGGGGCGAGAGTGCTACACAACCGCTCCGTCTATTCATACTGGTCAACACCCCTTCGCAGGATGCCGAGGTTAATGTGAATGTCGATGGGAATAACTTGAAAGTCTTGCCGGAATGCAATTTCAAGTACATATAAGCTGTCACTTATAATCCTCCCTGTATCTGTTTTATTTTTAGAGTATTACAGAGCTAATCGCATTGTGACTCAATACTCTGCTGACAATCCCGTCCCATCACTAAAAGTTCTGATCAGATATGCGAGGGAAACCCTTCAAGTTTTCTATTCCCTCCCTAAGGAGAACCTTGATCATTGGACTCTCTGTACGAATGCGTCCGGTGAGTTTTTACTTTCGTTGTCAGCTTCTCAGATTATCATCCTGTAGAGGTTCCTGAACAGTTCAGCTCTAGGGTGCGTTCATACTTTGCCTTAGCGTTTTGAGCGTACGGCAGCGTTGCGAGCCTGCGTTCTAGGGGATCCGTGGGCAGTCGCTGGAAACGCTAGCGTATGCTCAAAATGCTAGATATATCTATACTTTCCTAGTCGTTCAGAACGCTGAAACGTTGCCGTACGCTCAAAACGCTAAAGTTTTAACGCGGCCTTGTGATTATGAGAGCTATGATTCATTTGTTTATTAATGATTGAGTCCCATTTCCCTTGGCATTTCAGGTTTGTATTTACCGGTAAACTATCATGTGGGTATCTCAGCTGCTACCGGTGATCTTATGAGCGGTCACGATCTGCTGTCGTTCAAAGTGTAAGTTGTGCTTATTGACTTGCTATTAGATACGTTCTTGTCCTTCAGGCTGGTTTCTCTCCCCAATCAACCGTATCTTTTGATATATTTTTTGTTTCTCTGTTTATTTTTCGAACGAAAATCACGCTGCAAAGAGAGGGAGATCAGCCTCGCACTCAGACCAGCGCTATAGC